AAATATTCAGCATCTGAGACCTTTTGGAATACTTTATTTAGAAGTTTTAAATTTTGGAAGAACAATACAATTTAGTCCTATTAAAATAAAAACAAAACAATATGTTATATGGAAAATAATATTAACCGTAATCTAATAGACAGATTATTCAAAAGAACTGAGAACTTATTTAGAAAAGTAAAGAGAAAAATGAGTAAATAAAAAGTAAATAAATCAAGATAAAAAATAAACAAATGGGTTTTGTCTGTCTTACTCCATATGAGTGGTCCCTGAAATATTCAGCATCCAAGACCTTTTGGAATACGTTTTCAATTTTGGAAGAACAATACAATTTAGTCCTATAAAAACAAAACAGTATGTAATACGGAAAATAATATTAACGGTAATGTAATAGACAGATTATTAAAAAAAACTGAGAACTTATTTAGAAAAGTGAAAAGAAAAATAAGAAAAAAATTAAGGTAGATAAATCAAAATAAAAAATAAACTAACCAGCCCAAAAATAATGACATATATTATAGAAGTAGTTAAAGTCTACAGCGGCTCCAGGGCTTATTATGGTCATTTCTCTAAATATTCAATGAAAGGCAGCCACGTGTTTAAAAAGTCATCATATTGGTTTTTCATGACATAAGTGAGACAGGATCTCACTTCTGATATCCCTTTGGATACAGAGAGTCCAACTACACAGTAGATTTTCTGTCGACTTTTCTGGAAACAGCCAAAGGCTTCCTTAATCCTAGTAGACACAGTTCTGGATCTGATGGAATTGGAGGATTTAGGATTTGTGTCAGTGAGCCACAGACATCATCTCAGAACGCTGTAACTTTAGGAACACGATGCCACCTGAAACAGGCCTGAAACAGGTCTGAAACGGGTCTGAAACAGGTCTGAAACTGGTCTGAAACAGGTCTGAAACAGGTCAGAAACAGGTCTGAAACAGGTCTGAAACAGGCCTGAAACAGGTCTGAAACAGCTCAGAAACGGGTCTGAAACAGGTCTGAAACAGTTCTGAAACGGGTCTGAAACAGCTCTGAAACGGGTCTGAAACAGGTCAGAAACAGGTCTGAAACAGGTCTGAAAAAGGTCTGAAACAGGTCAGAA